GCAGGCTTGGGCTTCTGCAAGCGGAGGCACCTTAGCAAACAGTATTGCAGTGAGATTTCCCCACTACTCTTGTTGTGCTTCCACCATTATGACCTTGGGACCAAGGCTAAATTGACTTGTGGAAACAACAATGGCTGCAACTATGGTATTCTGGCTTCAGCACTAACTGCAAACCATTCTCACCCCACAGGAAGTTTCTTGGATTAATAGACATGTGGGGCATTCCCACCATCAAGCACTGGACTCCGAGTTAAGTGGCCAATCTGCTTCAGCTATCCAGTTGGTATGTTACAGAACTGAAGTTTAATACTGAGTTAATTTTCCTCTTACTTTTATTCCTGAATAAAGATATGAAAGTCAGTAGAAAAGATCAATAGAATTAATTCCTGATTTGCCTATTACTGATCATAATAAATACTGTCTTGAGCTGGGTCAAGTAGCTGAAATTTGTTTTTAAAAGTGAGGCCCATTTTCCATAGTGTCACATCATTGCTGCCTACATCAACTTGAAACATGTATGGCTGCATATACATTTCCTTAATTATTTTGTTTGCATGTTTTCATACACCAAAGTTGACCTTTGGTTTTACCATTGAGTAATCCTTGGCTGTGTGGAGGAGACTGAAAAGAATTATCCAGTGCATCAACAGGTGGGCAATTCACTTCTAGATGAGGAGAGAATTGATTTAGTCCAACAGCAAGTATCTTCTGCTAATATGATTTTCCAAAACTTTTCCCATATTAACTCAGAACACACTTCTAGTCATATTCACCGGGCTACTTCAATTTGAATTCTGAAGGTAAATAAAAATTAAAGGGGAAAAAGCTAATGCGAGAGTAAAGTATAATTGTATTAGTCTGGGTAGACTAGAGAAACAAATTCGTAAACACCCATATGTGTGTAGGAAAGAACTTTATATGCAAGAGCAATTGAATATTGAGAAATCATACCAGCCCAGTCCAGATCAAGTCCATAAGTCCAATATTAGCCCATATGTCCAATACCAATCTATAAATTCCTCTTCAGACTCACGAAACGCATGCAATAGTGCTGAATGCAGGACAAGCACAGGCCAGTGGATGAAAGTCTTGTGGATCCAGTCGCATTGTTGTAAGCATCTCAGCACTGGCGTGGTTCTCCACATGGCTCCTTCAGCTCCCAGGCTTCTGGTAGCTTCATATGGCTTGTCAACAGGGATATCTCCCAGGGAGTGAGTGTGTGTCCTGCCTCCGGCAAGCTATTTATCTCCTTAGCACCTCCAAATGAGGTCATCAAACTATGATCTGATTGACAGGCGAAACTCCACCCCTTCACTCTTAATCCTCTCAAATTGACAACAGATTATGTAGCTACCACAATAATTTTGTTGTAAAACGTGCCTCCTGTAACCTTGACATTGGGGTAGAGGGTTTACATTTCAAGGATAGAGCCCTAAGTCAGAGAATCAATAAAGAAGCCATTCCTTGGACACAGTTGTTAGGTGCTGTAGCTTTCAACGCCTAACGACCTTATGTGCAACAGAAGCCATGCCTGCCCCTGTGCCATCCTCACAATTGTTCTTGTTTGAGCCCATTGTTGCAGCCATTGTGTCCATCCTTCTCCTAGAGGGTCATCCTCTTTTTTCTGCCCCTCTCCTATACGAAGCATGGTGTCCTTTTCCTTGTGCATTAGCATAGCAAAACAGAAGTCTGACCGCAGATTTCAGACAGAGAACTGACTTCCCTGTGTTAGCAAGAAATGCTCCTTAAATTTTTATTTTAAGAGCCTTATGATGTTTGCTGTTTAAATAACTGAAATGTGATTCGTAAGATGATAACGTCAGACTGGAATTAGTTTTAAAATCACTTTAATCCTAACTTCACCTTGAATGAAGAATTTCCAGTCCCCAAGCGACATATGAGAGAATCTTTGATGCTAATGATCTATTTTAATTCTCGGAATCAATCAACTTGCTGGCCGCGCGGCTGTGTGTGTGTATGTGTGTGTGTGTTTTGGAACTCGCTAATTTAATCACAATTCCCTTTGTAAGTTACACGGCAAAGGGTGAACTAGAAGTGAAATAGAATAAACAAAGGTGAAATCGAATAGAATAAATAAAGGTGAAATAAAATAAATAAAAATAAAATAAAATGTAAAACTAACTAAATAAGATAAAATAAAGGTGAAATAAAACAAAAATAAATAAAGGTAAAAGAGAACAGAATAAATCAAGGTGAAATAGCAATGATGTAGTTTAGGATTCTTTAGTGTATTCAAGGTCCTGCTGTATTCCCCACAGTAGGGGTTGAGGGAGTCCTTTGGTGCCATTGAGTTAATCCTCCTCAAAAGAATGTGTTCCTGGGCCACCCTCCCAATTGCTCTTATTTTTGAGCCCATTGTTGCAGCCACTGTGCCAATCCGTCTCCCTGGGGGCCTTCCTCTTTTTAATGCTCCTCACTCTACAAAGGAAGATGTCCTTCTCCAGGGACTGAGCTCTCCTGATAACATGTCCAATGTATGTGAGCCCACCCTTGCCACTGCAGAACGTTCTAGCTGTACTTCTTCCAAGACAGCTCTCTTTATTCTTTTGGCAATCCATGGTACTTTCAATTTTTTTTGCCAGACACCTTAGTTTAAATGCATCATTTCTCCTTCAGTCTGCCTTATTAATTTGTCCAACTTTCACATGCCTATGAGGCTATTGAAAATACCATGACTTGGCTCATGTACAACTTAGTCCTCAAAGTAACCTCCTTGTTCTTCAAAACTTGGAAGTAATCTTGGACAGTAGTTACATCTTTTTATTTCTTGACTGCTGCTTCTATGAGCGTCAATTGTAGATCCAAGAAAGAGGAAATCCTTGACAATATCAATCTTTCTTTGCTTGTCAAGATGCCACTTATTGAGCCAGTTGTGAGGAATTCCGTCTTCTTTGCTTTACGTCGTAATCCATACCGAAGGCCGCAATCCTTGATCTTCATCAGCAACAGCTTCAAGTTCTCCTCACTTTCAGCAGCAAGGTTGTGTCACCTGCAGATGGCAGGATGTTAGTAAGCCTTCCTCCAATCCTGATGCCTCATTCTTCTTCACAGAGTTCAGCTTGTCTGATGAGGGGCTCAGCATACAGACTGAGGAAGCATGGGAAAGGATACAGCGCTGACTCACACCATTCTTGATTTTAAACCCTGCAGCGTCCCCTTGCTCTGTTCACCGAATTGCCTCTTCATCCGTGAACGGGTTCCGCAGAGGCACAATGAACTGCTCTGGAATTCCTATTCTTCTCAAGACTATCCGTAGTTTATTATGATCCACACAGTTCCAGGCCTCAGCATAGTCCACGAAGCACAAAGAAACATCTTTCTGGTATTCTCTACTTTCAGCCAAGATCCATTTGACGTCAGCAACGATATCCTTTGTTTCATGACCACTTCTGAAGCCAGCTTGAATCTCTGGCAGCTCCCTGTCAGTGTATCGCTGCAACCATTGTTGGATGATCTTCCATTTACTTCGTCAGCTTTTGGAAAGATTTCAGTAGGTATTCCATCAATTCTTGGACACTAGTATTTTTTTTGTGCCAATGCTTTCAACGCAGCTTGGACTTCTTCCTCCAGTTCCATTGGTTCTTGCTCATATGCTGCATCTTGAAATAGTTTAATGTCGACTGGTCTTTTGGGTACAGTGACTCTCTGTGTTCTTTACATCTTTTGATGCTTCCGGCATCATTCGATATTTTGCCCACAGAATTTTACAAACTTGCAACTGGAGGTTTGAATTTTTTCCTTAGGTTCTTTCAGTTTATGGTAAGCTGAGCATGTTCTTCCCTTTTGTTTTTTTCACTTCAGATCTTTGCACATTTTATGATAATATTTTACCTTGACTTCCGAGTTGCCCTTTGACATTTTCTGGTCAGTTCTTTGTTGCTGAAAAAATATTTTTGCTATAAAGAACTCAATGGTCTTGCAAATTCCATCAAGCAATATCCAGCCTTGTTTCTGTCACCAAGACCATATCTTCCGGTATTGTTTCTTTACCTTTGCTTCCAATTTTTGCATTCCAATCACCAATAATTATCAGTGCATCTTGATTGTATGTTTGATCAATTGCAGACTCGATGTTGGTAGAATTCTTCAATTCCTTCATCTTTAGCTTTAGTGGTTGGTGCATGAATTGGAATCGTACTTGTAGTGATTGGATTTCTTTGTACGCAGGTGAACATTATGCTATCACAGACAGCATTGTGCCTGAAGACAGATCTTGAATGTCCTTCTTGAGAATGCATGTTCAGCTACTCCTCTTGACCGTGTCATTCCCACACAGGCTGTTTCAAAATGGCAACACTAGCCGAGAATATTTTCTTTGTGTGCTCCATTTCAGTTTTAATGACATATGTTTTCCAAATTCATACTTCTTACAGTTATTAGTTGATGTTTGCAACGGTTTCTTCTCATGTTGAGTCATGCCCCGTCAACAAAGGAAAGTCCTGAAATGTTTGCTCACAGGCCTGATTCATCCACATCACTATGGATGACTCTGTTTTGAGACGGCAGCTCTTCCTCGGTCGTACTTTGAGTGCCTTCTGGCCTGAGGAGCTTGTCGCCTAGCACTACCTATAACAATGCTCAGCTTCTACTCATTAGTTTTCAGTAACAGACAATGCTTTGATGCTATCCATAGAGATTTCAGTGGCTAGTTCCCCTGAAGTGGATAGTCTATTTCGTCTTCATAGTCTGTTCTTCGTCTGGAAGCTGTCCTGCAGCCTGTCCACTTTGGGTGACCCTGCTGGTACTTGAATCACCAGTGACAGCCACACCCAAGCCCCTGCAGTGGACCAACTGACAGGCAAGTGGCGGAAGTTGCTGGAGGGGAACTCACAATCCTTTTGAATCATTACGTTGTCTTGGATGTTTGCCTCCCAAATCCTTTACATTCTGTCCCAACGGACAGCTTTCTTGAGAGAAAATAAAAAGCAACTTGTGATGTAAATCTTTGAATTTTCGTGGAATTAAAGGTTTTTTGTAATAATCTGAAAGCATTGCATTGATAGTCTGTGTTTCTAGAACCAAACATTTTATGCAAGTGGCCTTCCTACTAACCCTGCCTCCTACAGGTCCTCCTGCTGTTCTTGAAGCTTCGTACCCAAACCTCTCCAAAGATAGCTACACTTTCACTATATCTTTTTGGGATAACTGTTGTTATTAAAACAGGTGAACATTACATTTATTTCCTCTCTTTTTAAATATTTTATTTTTATATATATTTATATATTTTTTCATTTTCTCTCTTTTACCTACAAAAATGTACATACAAAAATGTAAAAAATGAATTTTTTAAAGGGGCATGGTCATGAGGCAGGTGAAAATCATTTTTTCTCCCACATTATATAACAATCAGAGGCAAGGAGAGGTGAAGAGTCACCCCTGGAATTGAACTATGAGTCGATCTCTGAAATAAAATCATGAAACCTTAACTCATCCAGACACTAGCCTCAAACACTTTTCTGGCATATGAGAAGATGAAAGACGGTGAGGAGGGGTGTGTGTGGGGGTTAAGTTCTTCTATCTGTCTTTTGTAAATCTGCTGATCTACTTTCTTAATTGGCAATATTCTGTTTCTGACTGGCAAAGCAACAAAAAAAGATTATTTATACTATGATGATTGGAATGAGGTGCTGGGTTCACTTGAGTTTTTTCTCCATCCAGAATACATCATCTGCTAATATCGGAAAACAAATCCCAGATGCATGATCCAGCACATGGGAGTGGTGTCACATGAGGTCCAGAACCTTTTCTTTTCCTATCCCTGCAGCTCTTACATTTCGTGAAAGCATTCTGAGTTGGAGAGTCTGAAGCACAGACTGGCTTGCCATCTATGGAAGATTCTGAACAGCACGAGTGTATTTTCATTTGAATGTAGAGAATCCAAAAACCATGCTCTGCTCCCAGACCTGCAGGCCTCCCTCCTATGTTTGTCTGAGTTTAGAAGGTCTAGTAGGCATCTAAAGAGACATCCTGGGGGCACAGTAGTTGAAATACTCCACCACTGACCCAAAGGTGAGTGGGTTGAACCCACCTGCCCAGGCAATCTTCAGGAAATGGTAATAGTCTGTCTCTCTAAAGACTGTTGCTCTAGGCCTTGGAGTCATTGTCAATTGCAGCAACTCAATAGGACACAATAGAACATCCCCATAGAGATTCCTGGGCTGTAATCTCTATGGAAAGAGCGCAGCTGGTACAGTGGATTAAACATTGGGCTGCTAACTACATGGTCCAAGGTTCAAAGCCACCAGTGCTGAGTGGGAGAAACCCGAGGCGATCTGCTCTCATGGAGATCTACAGTCTTGGGAACCCTATGGAGCAGTTCTATGCTGCCCTATTGGGTCATTCTGCCTCCAAACCTAGTTGGTGGCGGTGGCATGATTATGGACGCAGATCACCAGCCCTTTTTGCCGCAGAGCTGCTGATGGCTTCAAACTGCCAGCATTTCCGTTGCAGCCAAACATCCCCTCAGCTCATCAGGGCTGCTACTCATAAACATTACAGTATTGGGAAGGGGGGGGGGCAGCTCTGCTCTGTCTTACAGGGTCAATGTGAGTTGAAATGGACTGAGTAGCAAGAGGTAATACACACAGAGTATTGTTATGTCTTTTAAACTACAGTGTGATCCTTTAGGTGTTTAGTTTTTCCAACAGAAGAGTGACGAATGCTTACCTTCATGACTTATCTTTTCATTTTAAATAGAAAAGCCCAGAAGACTTACAGGCAGCCGAAATTCCCATAGGCAGGATGACAGCCTTCCACAGGAAATGTGAGTACTGGTTTGTCCTCTGGTTTTGACCTTGACGTGGGTGAAGGTTTATGGGGCAGATCATCTGTTTCACATTAAAGACTTCAAAGATAGCTTGTTTCAGCTCACCCCTTGCCATCCTCTCTGTGGAGCATCCCTTATCACACTTCCTCCCTGTGTTTTCTACTTGTCCTTTCCTGTCCATTCTCAATTCCATCCTTGGGTAGACACTGCTTTTGACCTGAAATGGTGGATCACTGGTGTTATTTTTCCTTTGGAAGGCTTTCCTCTTGTTTGCTGTAAGTGGAGCCAGGGGAGTGAGTTCAGTTCTGATCTGAGGGGGGAACTAAAGGCCGTGGTCTGACAGGTTCCATAAGTTTCCATATGACCAGTAATGCCGGTCTTCCTTATGATTTGGAGTTTTGTTGAACATGTTTCTCCCACTCTCGTCAGGTCTAAGCAGTTGGTAGTGGTAGCAAACCAGCCTCTAGCTCTGGTCTCAGAATGGTGGAGGCTGGGGTTCCATGATCTAGCAATCCACGGGGCTGCTTGTTTCCACATGTCTTCAACTTTCATCACTCTTTTCAGCGGCACAGGGAGAGGCCAGTAGGGTAATGTTGCTTGTTGGGTTGAAATCTGCCTGGATTGCAGTTCAAAACCACCAGCAGCTCCATGGGAGAAAGACTAGACTTTCTACTCCAGTGAACCATTACAGTCTCGGAAACCCACATGGGGTCACTATGAGTCAGCATTGACCTGGTGGCAGTGACTGAGAGATATGGCTGCTAATGATCTTGTACGATCACAGCTGCTGTGAGGACTTTTTAAAAAATTAAAATTTTACTGAATAAAATGCCAGAGATAAAAATGAAAGTTATTTTTAAATAGATATGGCAGCACCATACAGTTTTCATACTTGGCATACATTTCATTATTAAAAACCTCTTGATAAAATTGTGAACAGAGATTTTCTATCAATTTCTCAACTATACTACTGATTAATATCAACTATATGTTTTGAACATAATGGTTTTCTTTTCTTAAAGGTTGACTATTTTTTAGTGAAGCTAGGTTTACAGAAGAATTGTGTAGAAAATACAGCATTCTTTATAACCTTCCTATCCCCTACACACAATTTCTATTATTGATATCTTACATGAATTATAATATGGATGCATTATTATCAATTAAAGTCAATAGTTTACATGAGGGCTTACTTTTTTGCTGTATTGGTTTTGACAAATGCATACTATCTTGCATGAAAAAAAATTATCTACCATATATACTCAAGTATAAGCCGACCTGACTATCAGCTGAGGCACCTAATTTTACCACAAAAACTGCATTAAAAACGTGCTGAAGAACTCATCTTATACACGAGTATCTACGGTAAGATCACATTAGCATTCAAATAAAAGAAAAACACAAACACATCTATAAAGAAAAGTATTTTCCCCAGTCACTTAACAGGTTTTCATTTCCTATCACAGCTCATGGAAATGCCTCACAAATGCTTGTATCATTTGTAACACCGTCATAAAGATAGTGAAGTTAAATCAGAGATAGTTCATGGTTCATATCTTATTTATTCACTCATTTTCCCATAGTGATTTTTAATTCTTTTCCTTTCTATGATTCCTATTTCTGAACTGCATTAACTAACACTTATAGGACTTTGTTTTCCTTTACTTTAAAAAGGTAGTTTTATTGAGATATAATTTAACATATGACATGATTCAATAGTTCTATCATATTAAGAAGCATTATACAATCATCACAACAATCATCTTTGAAACATTTTCTTACTTTTCTATTGACTCCACATTTCTCCCCAACACCCCCTTTCAGGCCTCTATGTAATTATTAATCCAGTTGCTTTCTTCATCGATCCACCTGCCCTGACTTCTCTATAGAGAAAAACATACAAAACAAATAACAAAGGGGTCCAACAACATTGACCAAATAAAACAGAGAAAAAAATCTCAATCGAAAAGAAACAGAAAATATTTAAAAAACCAGAATAAATTCAAAAGGAATCTAAAGGGAAATCTAATGACAAGATGATGTATTTCAGACTAAATACAGCTACTAAAGTCTACTACATAATGCTCTTTGTCTGCTCTTAAGGCAAGTCACCTTTCTAGACTATTGTCATTGGGGATTCACTGTAGAGTCGATTCATGTAGGGACCCTGAAATGGATTTTGGACTTCCACTATGATCCAAAACCTTCTGCAAACCAAGTGTTTAGAATTTGGGCTCTGGTACTGTTCCCTCCTCAGGGTCTGAATTTTGTTATTTATAATCTTTGGATCACACGTACTGAATTTAGTTGACTCCTCACTTAGATGACTGCTTGTTTTGAGACAAGTCTTTAAGACCTCAGACACTATTTTTCTATTAGCTGGGCACCATCTGATTTCTTTTTTTCAGGTGGGTTTTTTAAAAATCATTTTGTTGGGGGCTTGTACGACTCTTATCACAATCCATACATACATCCATTGTGTCAAGCATGTTTGTACATGTGTTGCAATCATCATTCTCAAAACATTTGTTTTTCACTAGAGCCCTTGGTATCAGCTCCTCATTTTTACCCTACCTCCCCACTACCCCCTCCCTTATGAACCCTTGATAATTTATACATTATTATTATTTTGTCATGTCTTACAAAGTCCAACGTCTCCCTTCACCCACTTTTCTGTTGTCCATCCCCTACGGTGGAGGTTATATGTAGATCCTTGTAATCGATCCCCTCTTTCCACCCCACCCTCTCTCCACCCTCCCGGTATAGCCACTCTCAGCACTGGGCCTGAAGGGATCATCTGTCCTGGATTCCCTGTGTTTTCAGTTCCTATCTGTACCAGTGTACATCCTCTGGTCTAGCCAGGTTTGTAAGGTAGAATTGGGATCATGATAGTGGAGGGGCTGGGAAGGAAGCATTTAGGAACTAGAGGAAAGTTGTATGTTTCCTTGTTGCTACACTGCACCCTGACTGTCTCATTTCCTCCCCGCATAAGGAGATGTCTGGTTGCCTACAAATGGGTCTTGGATCCCCAATCTGCACTCTCCATCATTCACCATGATTTGATTTTTTGTTCTTTGATGCCTGATACCTGATCCCTTCGACACCTTGTGATCACACAGGCTGCAACATCTGATTTCTTCATCACATTGTGCTATCACAACTTCTTCAGCAATCTCATGAGGGCAAATACTGAGTAGGGTCATGTCACATGAACTAATTATTCTTATATTAGAGCTATGATCAAGTGAGAGTTCAAAAAAAAAAAAATATATATATATACACATGTATAAAAATGGTGTATATATGTCCCTAGTTCAATTTAGAGACATCAGTATCATTTTATTGGAATGTATCATAAAGGCAATTCTACTGATAGTATCATTATTTTAGTCAATGGTATAAAATTTAAAACACTGTTGAGAAGAGGAATTTATACATGTGTAGGATACCTTTTTAGACTGCAGTACATGCATTGTTAATTTGTACAGTTTTGAAGTGGGTTACTAGACACTATTTCCCAAGCCAGGAGGACTGGACCTATGGCACTACTTTCAATAACACTTATAAAGGCAGGACCATGGTTGGTGGGCTACCACTTTTCACAGGAAAGCAGAGAGAGCTTGATAACAACAAGTAGATGTTGGTCCTGGGTCACTCTTTGTTGGGCACCCTCACAAAACCAAAGTCCAATGACCACCATTTCCCTAACCTTGGGTTAGCAATCATCTGCTTCTTCTCCCCCTAGAGCAACTCAGTCTTAAGTTCAAAGGGGTTATTTCACTTCTTAAATCTGCTGCACGGTAAAGTCCAGTTCCCTCAGTGGGGTTTCCAACTCAGATTCTTCTGGTGTGGTCCATGAAGGGTATGGTGCATCACAAGAGGACCGAATCTAATGTCCCAGTTCACCAAAGGCTGTATGGAAACCAGGTCAAAAGTGACAATTTAGAAACTTAATACCTGGCATATTTTCCCCTTGAGTTCTATATAAGTCCTGCAAAAGCATTGTTCCTCAATGGCAGATTGCCCCACCCAGTTTAATACCATAGGTGTAATCATCTTCTCCTATCCTTCCTCTTGATGTGAGTTCCCAGGAAAGTTCACTAATGACTCTTGTAAGAGTGTCTGCTGATTTTGGATGACTAGAGAACCTTGCTAAATTGATTAATCTTTTAATCAGCAATTCGTTAATCTTTGACTCATGTTTCTTTGAAGTTTTGTCTACTTTCATTTTTCATCAGTTGTTTCTGAGATTTCCCCCCATTTTCCTCAATTATATTACTCTTTTGTGCCACATATCGGCATCTTAATGTTGGCGTATATGATTTTTACCATAAGAACCTAGCTAACCACTAATAAAAAGATGCATCGGACACTCATTCTATACCAGGCACAATGCTACGTCCCTGACAATGATGATCTCTTTCAGTAATCTCAGCCAACTTAAGTGGCTAGAATAATTATCACCCGATTATACACATGAAGAAACTAATAAGGAGGTTAACGAACTGCTCAGGATTACATAGCTAGTAAACTGCATATTAGAAAATTAAAGAAGTGCAAATGCACCAACTACATCCTTGTGATCATTCTCTCAAATCTGTTCATTCATTCAAGAAATATTTGAATCAATGTGCATAAAAGGGAGAATAAAATATCACTGATTTGATCCTAGTTTGCAATGTAGTTGGCTATACAGAGAAAACGAATAAGAGAAAACTCTTTTTTATAAACATCATTATTGTAAATGTGTTAGAGACATTAACTCATGCAACTTACTTATTTGATTCAAACTATGTAGTCATGCAGCTGTTCAATTCTGTTTTCAGGACATTATTCATAATATATTTCCTTCTTTACTTTCACTTCTTGGAGTAATTTTTAGAATGCCCAGCACACAGTAGGTCCACAGTAGACCTTTGTTTTTGTTTAATTTTGTTTCTGAAAGAAAGGAAGAGGGGGTGTGGTGGGGAAGGATATGCCACGGGAAATTAGAAACA